GTGTTATCAACCGGGACTAAAGATCTAGAAGATATTTAGTCCCGGTTGGTAATACCAACCGGAACTAAAATTCAACGCTTAATATATAATCCCTCTTCCCTATCCTCTCCTCCACAACCGCCTCGCACTTATTCTCTTCTTAGAGGCTCAGATCGATCTCCCTCTCCTCCTCCCCTCCTCCCTCTCATCCTCCCTCTCAGATCGATCTCCCTCTCCTCCTCCCCCTCCGCCTCCTCCCATCCCCGGCCCTCTCCTCCCTGTCCTCCCTTCCCATCCGCTCAGATCGATCTCCCTCTCCTCCTCCCTTCCTCCCTCTCAGATCGATCTCCCTCCTCCTCCCCCTCCGCCTCCTCCCCTTCCCCTCCCATCCCCGGCCCTCTCCTCCCCCTCCTCTCTTCCCACGCAGCAGGTGGCCGGCTAGGCCGCGCACGGGCCCAGTGGCAAGCGGCGGTAGGCGGCAGCCGCTGCCGGCGTCTTTTTTTTTTTTTTACAATTTGTGATTCACTAAGATGTATAATTTTGTGATTTGTTGCATGGATCTGAGATGTATAATCTGTGATGTATTTGGTTTGTGTGTAATTTTTTAAAGATTTGTGATGTATTTGATTTGTTTGTATAAGTAACTTAAGATTTGTGATGTGAATGTTTTGGGATGTTACTTTGATTTGAGGTTTGATTTGGGGATATGTATCCTACTTGATTTGGGAGAAAATACAGGGATTAAACTCTGGCTAAAAAACAATGAAAAAAAGAGACCTAACGGGACTACCGCTACCCTCTCTTTAGGACTAAAGACCGACATGTTTAGCCCCGGTTGAAAAACCGGGACTAAAGGGGGTTACCAACCGGGAGTATAAATGGTTTCTTCACCAGTGTACTAGTAGTACACATACATGTGTTTTGAGGAAAAAATAATCACAATTTTCTTAATAGATTTAATGGGTCAACTGTTTCTCCTACATGTGCACATATATGGTGGGAGGGATTTTGAATGTCGAGAGAGGAGGCAGCGCGAGTGGGGCTGGCCTCCTTCTGTTTAAACTTCCTACTGATTTCATTATTTCTTCAATAAAATTTGAAGAGGTTAATATCATTGGTTTCTTTACCAAATAATTTGGACTATTTCAAGTTTTGCTACTTCTTTAAGGATTTGTTTGGTTGAAGGATATAACATTTAAGTGTGCGTTTGGTTTATGGACAAGAGTGGATAGGGCGGCTAAGATCGAGATGAAGATGCTAGATAAACTCATCCCAAAAAAATGGCCAGAGAAGCGTAGATCACCTTTGTTAATCATGATCATTAGTGATTGATTATGATAATTAATACATTTTATTGTTAATTGTTTTAAGATAATACCATGTCTTACCCAGTTGTTTGGATTATATTAAAATACAACAAAACAACAAAGTTTGTAACCAATTAGAAACTGAAGAGAGAAGTGGTTCATTCGTCCTGCAAATATGCATGAGAATTTCTTACCGAAACTTAACAAACCAAAAATTTGGATGAGGAGCAACATTCTGAAAGATGAGGGCATTGCGTTGTTTCCAAATATGCCAACATGCAATGGAGAAAATCTCCATAAAACCCTTTCTTCTAAAACGGATTTTCTCCAAAACAATCATCTGAAAGAATTCTAGATTAGAACTCCAAGAGAGACCTTTCTTCCTCCAGCAAGCAACACTGAAAGAATAAGAGAAGAACATATGTTCTCTGGTTTCTCTTACTCCTAAAGAGTAGAGAGCACAAGTTAAATCAGCATCTTCTCGAGCACAATTTCTTCTGTCAAGTATGTCCCTTGTGTTGAGTATCACAAAAGAGAAGCCACATGAACACCTTGATTTTATTCACACATTTCATCTTCTAAATCCAGGCAAACGGCCTTGGAGGAGAAAGGCCAATGAAATTATGTCCATAAAATTTCTAGGAAGAATATCTATGACTGTTCCAAATGAAGGACCAATTATCACCTATGCCATTGGTTAGAACCAGATTTTGCAACTCTGCTTGCAAATTCAGAAAGTCATCATATAATTGAGTGGTGAGGGGCAATTGAAAACAATCTTCAAACTCTCTTTCAGTAAAACTTTTGACAGAAGCAATTCTATGTATACCCTAATTATAAAGACTTTCATACTGCTGGCATCTGATATTTCCATTCCACATATCTTCCCCAAAAGTGATAGATTTTCCATTAACATCAGTACATTGAGCTATTGCTCTATATATATCTGCTAAGTTGATGACATCCCTCCACCAAAAAGAACCCTTATTAGAGACTATATGTGGTACTTTAGAACTGTAGTATGAGTCCCAAATTAACTCACCCAAGGAAGATCTTCAGAGGAATAGAATTTGTGAAGGTGCTTGAGTAATAGAGCCATATTCTGAATATGTAGGTTAATAACCCCTAGGCCACCCCTTTTATTTGGCATACAAACCTTGTCCCATGCCACTAAAAATTTTCTCCTTTGTGTTATATCAGAACCTCTCCACAGGCAATGCCTTCTAGCATAGTCAATTGCCAGAATTGCAGTCTTTGGCATTTGCAGAGAACACATATAGTAAGTAGGTATTGCAAACAGAACAAAATTTATAAGAGTTAACCTTCCCCATATGGTAGGAAAATAGAACTAGCTGTCAATCTCCTCTCAATTCTATCCACCAAAGGAGCAAAGTCTACAACTTTTGGTCTGGTAGTTCCCATTGATAAACCAAGGTAAGTAAAAGGAAGGGTCCCCACTTTGCAACCAAATAAACCAGACAAGCTTTCAACTTTCTGTTCATCCATATTCAATGGATAGATGTTTGATTTGTGAAAATTAATTTTGAGGCCTGTGGATTGAGCAAAGGTATTAAGAAGAGCCTTGAGACAGAAAAACTCCTTTTGATCAGCTTTCATAAGTATAATAGCATCATCTGCATACTGAATCACTAGAAAATCACTTTCATCATCAGGCCGAATAGGTTTAGAAATTAAACCCAACTGGCAGGCTCTATTAAGGATTTCTTGTAATAGCTCAACCCCCAAAACAAACAATAGAGGGGATAAAGGATCGCCTTGTCTTACCCTTCTTTTGCATTTAAAAGACATACCATGAACTCTATTTAAAAAGGACTGAAGTACACGTTGAGTTAAAAATCATGTCAACCCAACTTAACCATTTAGCAGGAAAACCCATATGCCTCATTATCATTAAGATTGCTTCATGTTCAATGGAGTCAAAAGCTTTCTCAAAATCAAGCTTTATAATTACAATTTCCCTATTTGATTGTTGACATTGGTGAATGTATTCAAAAGCCCATGCTAGACAATCTTGTATTGTTCTTCCTTTAATAAAACTATATTGATTTTGATGAATCAATTTGGTGATCACCCCTTGTAGTCTATCAACGAATGCCTTAGTTAGCAACTTCAGACTTATGTTCATTAAGGAGATAGGTCTAAAATCATTAGCTGTTTCCAGATTTGTCTTCTTTGGCACCAAAGTAATAAATGAAGAATTTAGAGGCTGAATATCTATGCAACCCGCATGAAAATGAGCAATAAGTCTGTAAAAATCTTGAACAATAATGGGCCAACATTTCTTCAAGAAATATCCATTAAAACCATTGGGTCCTAAAGCCTTGTCTATAGATATTCTTTTGACCAGATCATCTATCTCCTGGGAAGAAAAAGGATCTACCAAATAAGACAAATCTGTTGTTCTAGTGAAGAAATTAACTAGATTGAAAGCCATGCTCATACCCAAAGGGGTTCCCATTCTATTCTTGCAAGATAGATAGAAGAGGTCAGTTTTGTCCTAGTGGGAGATCAGACTATTACCCATCCCAGCAGAAAAATGAGAAATGGTATTAAACCTATATCTTTCAGTAGCCATAGCATGAAAAAAAATGTGTTTTCCTCCCCCAGAACCATCCATATGTTTGTGCATCTTTTTTTCCAATATTTTCTTCTATGACCAAACAATTTGAGAATATGTTTTTTTTTAACAATTTCTCTGAAAGCCCACTCATGGAGAACCAGAGATATGCATTCTTCTATTAAGTCCAAGAAGTGAAGGACCTTATTGCTATTATTTATAAGAGCATTTAGCCTTGATAAATTTTTACTCCATGTAGTCAAAGCTTTCCTAAATTGCTTTAATTTGAAGGAGATACATTTTGCTGGATCTTCAAAACCAGGGTCTATCAGCCATACAGATGCAACTTTCTCAAAAAAAAACCATCAAAATCTACCTAGAAATTCTCAAAACGAGAGATGTTACTCTTAGGGATCTTAGTCTGAATCTTTATCACATAGGGAACGTGACCTGAAATCACTCTAGGAAGAGGGACCACAACTGTATTTGGATATGAAAGAGTCCAGGAAGTTGAACTGAAAAACCAATCAAGCTGCTCCAAAAGAGGATTTTGTTGCATATTACTCCAAGTAAAGGATCTACCTTTAAAGGTAGTTCAACCAAACCAAGAGTGCTAATGATGTCATTGAAGATGAGAATATCATTCATATTAGCACCTGGCTTATTTCTATTTTCAGTAGATCTATAAAAATTAAAATCACCTAAAAACAACCTAGTCTCATCTTAATCTAACTGAATTTTTTTAACCAGTTTACAAACTCATCTCTTTCTTGTCCACTGCAGGGACCATAAACATAGGTTAAAAACCAAATCTCCTTATTGTGCCTTGAAACAAACTTTATAGATATAGCATGATTAATGAAAGACTACAAAGTTCCCATAAAAAACTTGTTGTTCCAAGCAACTAGGATGCCACTAGATGCCCCTCTCGAAGGAACAAAGAGAAAATCGTCAAATTTTTTTGGCATAACCTTCCTCATGTATTCTTTATCTATAAGTTCTCTTTTTTGTTTCTTGCAAACATATCACTTAACAATTGCTATCATCAACAGCCTGTCTAAGAGCATCCCATTTTTCAGCCGAATTCATACTACGAATATTCCAACAAAGAACATTCCAATCACGACAATTTGAGCTAGTCATTTAAACAGATAAAAATAGCATAGGGGGTCTCAGAACAAGCAAAGCTAATCTGACAAGTTTGGCACAATTGCAACCATAAGTTTGCATTACAAAGAGTCTGGAAACAGGACCAGATTGCATCATAGCCGACACAGACATAAAAGACAGCCACCAAAAGCACAACCAAAAAGAACTGCCCCCACATGTGCATAGGATCATTCAGCATCTTCTGTAGGACTTGGAAGTTCTTTCAGCTTCTCCCCCTGAAGCTTTGATTCAGCCACATCCTCAAGATGAAGGCCACACATCTCCACTCCCATCTTTTGTAAGAGAGAAATAGAGCAATCAGATGGCGATGAATCAGTATAGGAACCATTATCATCCATAGAGAAATCAAGATGAAAATTAGAATCATGTAAAATACCCTCTGAAGACAATTTTGCAATACCTGCTAATTCCTTTAACTTCCTTGCAGATTTCCCCCTAGGTTTCCCAAACCCCATTCTTGGGTCAAGTTGGAGACAACCTTGTGCATAAGCCCTTAGCCTAGAACTTTGCCTTCTTTCAGGGTCACACAAAATTGTTTTACCATCTCTTTTCTTAATGGGAGCTTTAGGGGGTAGAGCAGCAACTGCAAAGGAGTTGATGGCTCCACATGTTCCTCCAGCTGAGAAAAGGTGCAAGCTTTCTGGGAATCAACAAAACGTACCAAGTCCAGGCTTTTCTATCCAGCAACATCAGGGAGGGATTCAAAGATATCAGCAACTTCTACATTAGAGGGAGGCATAACAGACAACGGCACAGGCATAGGTAAATCATCAGGGCCTTTAAATTGAACCACAGCCCATTCAGAGGCCTCACCGGCCCACATGCAGACGTTTAAAAGGTGGCAGCTGATCAGCAGAAGCTTTTCTTTTGGATAAAACAAGCTGAGTAAAAGGGGCCAAAGAAGTTAAAGGCTGTGGAATGCTGACATTATTACACTTTTCAGCCAGTTGCTCAAGCAACTCTTTCCTCAACCAAAACTCCTGTAATCTACCAAAAGTTCCCTCAGAAATAAAGAATTGAGGCTCCTCAGCAAACATAATGATGTAACCATGGCTACTATGGATACAACCGTTGCTCACATCATGGATGAACAAGATGATATCAAGATCAAGTCCTCCAACTGCTGGAATCCGATTCGGCCACCTGCTACACTGCTGAATTCAAACGGCCGCCGAATCTGTATATGACATCCATTTTCGGCTCGTGAGTACTTGATGGAAAGCTCTCAGAGTCGTCTTCCAATAGATCTAACCTCATTGCAAAATTCCATCTCAGTGAGCCGCAATTGAAGAAACAAAGTGTTGCGTCACCTGTAATGGGCCTATGGGCTTGTAACTTCGTTTGGGACCCCAGCCCAAGTGGGGCCCATGTGGGGTGCGCCCCAACCAGGTGGAGGACGACCTAGGGTCCTCCCATCTTCATAAATAGCTTGCTACCCCTTCAGGGTTTCTTGGGTTTTGTTTAGATTAAAGTTTAGCTTTGCTACCTTGCCGTGTAATCCCGTGATCGGTTAGATCGCCGGTTTACTCGTTACGAAACCCCAACTTATCATTTGTACTCAATTTCTATTTACAATTCAGATTGCTTTTATCTTGTTCTTGCTTGTTTCTTCGATTTGCTTGTAACAATAAGGTTGGTCTGCACCGGCAAGATCAACAATCCACGGAGAGGTGTATCGATCGCTAAGGCGCAACACAACAACATCTTGTATGGTTGTAGTCGAGTCGTCAACGTTTCTCCAAAATCGTAGTTATCATCAACTCATCGAAAGATCAGGCCAACAACAGCCTTGAGTGTGAAGTGGGACTCAGTATTCATTATGTGGTATTAGAGCTTTCGTTGCTCGGTGAGTTTTTATCTACCCATAACAAATTGTATCATTTACCTAGCCATATTGTGCAATTGCATTGTTCTTTTCAGCTTTTGCTTTGTTGAGTTTGCGTTGCATTGTCGAGTCGTGTTGCTGGTCCTAGCGTTTAGTTCGTTTAGAGTTTCGAGTTCTGGTCACGTTTTGTACCACTGTCGTTGTCATCGTCGTGTGTTTGTTGTCGTCGGGATCTATGAAAACGGAACCGCCTTGCTGCCAGGGTTCTATTTTTGTAGTTTTCATAAGTTTTATCGGTCGGTTTTGGAGTTGTTGAGTTGCCGAGTTGGCCGTGTTTGTGTTTCGGTCATGCTTGTGTTCATGCACGAGGGGAGGAAGGAGGATTACCAAATTTGTTTTTTGAAGTATGTCAAGATTGATCAGGAAGGAAATAGTAGATTGGATCGATTAAAAATAAGTTTATGTTTTTATCCTACACAAGTCCAATCTTCCATATCACAAAGCCACCAAACCTCTCTCTCCGGGAGTCCTGTGAGTCCGACTCCCTTCCATCACTGGTTCCTCCGGTTCTGAGTTGTGTCAAACACCTTGGTGAATTTTTGTTTTGGTGTCGGTTTCAAGATCCGTTTGGAAAAACGGAACAGGCATAATTTGAGCATTCCATTTTTATATAATTTTAATTTTAGGTTTGGACTTTTACATTTGAGTCCCTATAATTTTTGTATTTACATTTGAGTCCCTATAATCTTACATTAAGGTCCTTGAGTCGGTTTTTTGTTAAAAAATAAAAAAAAAGTGAGAAAAAGGCAGAAAGGTGCATACAAAAGAAAAAAAAGCCGCACCAAAAAATAAGAAAGAAAAATAAAAGAAAGAAAGAAAAAAGAAAGAAAGAAAGAAAGAAAGAAGAAGAAGAAGAAGAAAAGAAATGAGTTGTTTTTGAGACCGCCTTCATATGTCAGAGTTGTGAGTTGTTTCTCGTGGTATCGTTTATGTCTAGGCTCGCGTCTCTAGTACGTTCTAGCCTAGGACCAGCACGGTACTTGACTTTGAACGATCATTCAACTTTGCATTCTCTGGATTGAGCATTTGCTATTCCTTTGCTACATATTTAAGCCTACCCAGAGCTCCACAGATTTGATTGCAGCCGTACAGCAAGTGTTTGCCAAGGCATCGATACATCCAAACTCCATTGGGGTGCTTGGTTGAGTCAGTGTACGTCACCATTCCGCTTGCTTTGGTAAGAACTTGTAAGAGCTTGGTGAAAAGTTTGAGTGTGTGTGATATTTTAGCTGCCACTACCTAGTAGTTGATAGGAGCGTGCATATTCTTGTGTATGTTTCTTGTTTGCTACTAACCATGGCAGGATTTTGCAAGGGGAAATGAGATGGTCAGGCCCAACATCGACTTCTTCACCATCAACAAGATATAGCGACTTCTTCACGCATTGCATATGAGGTACATGATAGTGATCTTGCAAGGGTAGAATCTAATTTGCCAGTTTTTGATGGTAAGTATGATTCCGCCGCTTATGTTAATTGGGAGCTAGCAATAGACAAACAATTTGATGAGTATGATTTCTCTAATGTTCAAATGATTAATGCTGCTAGTAAAAAGTGTACCGGTTCTGCATCTTTTTGGTGGTATACTTTTGGTAATAAGCTTGAAACTTGGGATGAACGCAAAACAATGATGAGGAAAAATTTTGTGTTTTCATATTATAAACATACTCTCCTTGAGAAATTAGAACATCTAAAACAAGGTGACACAACCGTGCGGGAGTACTTTTGTAACTTTAAAATTTGTATCACTTATAGTGGTTTAAACGAAAGCAATGAGAACACAATGACTAGATTTTTTAGAGGGCTTAATTCCGATATTCAGGCGGGGCTTATTAACGTGACATATAATCATATAGGCCACTTGTTCATGCTTGCTTGTAGTGTTGAGAGCAATATTTTAAAGAACCCAAGGGAGAAACAAGCTATGTTTGTGCCTCCTATTTCTGACATTTTGCAGGGAGCTCAGAACATTCACCGTGAGGAGAAGAGGAATATAATCGAGATGCCATCTCCATCGATCACGAAGGAAGAAGAGAAGACTAATGCACTTACATTATCTGAAGAGGGCATAAAAGGTAAATTAAATGGTGCTGATATTACTCAAGGTGAGTGTGCTTCTGATGAGTGACATTTGTCCACTATCCATGCCAATCTAGAGCAAATTTTGGTGGAAACTACTTCTAATTTGCCTTTGTCACAAGTTGATTTACTTGTTGCTCCTTGTGATAAAGAGGAGTTGTGTGATAATGCTTCACTTAAATCCATGCCACAACTAGTGAATGAACATGCTATATCTAGTGTTTCATTGTGTGCTGATTTTAAGCATGTTGTTCACATTGCTAATGATGTTGAAGAACGTAAATTGATAACTTCTTTAAATACTTTGGGTTATGTTCAGTTTGATGATTTTTGTGAGCTCAATAATTTGGAGGAGAAATTATTTGCTAAGTCTGATTTGCCATGTCCAACAAATGCTATTTTTCATATCTTTGGCGAATATAATGATAGAGGAATATATTTGGTGCATAGAGTTTTCATTTGTTCGGATTTAGAGAAACATGTTATTGCTAATCACACTACTTCGAGTTTCTCTAGTTTTGATTGGATGAAACAGGTTATTTTGGATGGACTATGTGAAGAGCACCATATGGAAAAACCGAGGACGGTTTTCCGTGAAGAAGGGGAGGATGATGTGACCATGGCTACTAGGGATACAACTGTTGCTCACATCATGGATGAACAAGATGATATCAAGATCAAATCCTCTAAGTGCTGGAATCCGATTTGGCCACTTGCTACACTGCTGACTTCAAATGGCCGCCGAATCTGTATGAGACATCCGTTTTCGGCTCGTGAGTACTTGATGGAAAGCTCTCGGAGTCGTCTTTCCAATAGATCTAACCTCATTGCGAAATTCCATCTCAGTGAGCCGCAATTGAAGAAAAACAAGGTGTTGCGTCACCTGTAATGGGCCTATGGGCTTGTAACTTCGTCTGGAACCCCGGCCCAAGTGGGGCCCATGTGGGGTGTGCCCCAACCAGGTGGAGGACGACCTAGGGTCCTCCCATCTTCATAAATAGCTTGCTACCCCTTCATGGTTTCTTAGGTTTTGTTTAGATTAAAGTTTAGCTTTGCTACTTTGCCGTGTAATCCCGTGATCGGTTAGATCGCCGGTTTACTCATTACGGAACACCAACTTATCATTTGTACTCAATTCCTATTTGCAATTCAGATTGCTTTTATCTTGTTCTTACTTGTTTCTTCGATTTGCTTGCAGGAATAAGGTTGGTCTACACTGGCAAGATCAATAACCCACGGAGAGGTGTATCGATCGCTAAGGCGCAACACAACAATGTCTTGTACGGTTGTAGTCAGATCGTCAACATTTCTCCCAAATCGTAGTTATCATCAACTCACCGAAAAATCAGGCCAACAACAGCCTTGAGTGTCAAGTGGAATCTGTCTTTCCTCAATAGTAGGCTCAACTTCCTAAACAACAGGGACCAACTGCAATACACCATTAAGATCAGAGTTTGAGCTAACACCAGAATTTCCTGTTGCCTGTTGATTATCATGCTGCTCCCAGTTTCCCAAGTTATCATGATTAGCCTCATCAACATGATCATTATAATCAAAAGGAGCATTTGGCTGATTATTATTAGGTGTCTGAACACCCAAAGGACCAACTGGTGGCAAATCTTCATAAGGTGGCTGAGCATCAACAAATTCATTATTTAGCACAAAAACACCAAAAGCCCAAGATTCACCTTGACCACCATGCTGGTTGATTTCCTTTATTGCAATTCTTCTAGGGACCATATCAACATCATCAAAATAAGCTCGAAGTATAACCCTTCCTGGGATTACATCTCCCTCTTGCCAGTAATCTAGTCTACCAAAAAGACTAACAACTCTAGAGATGTAATACTAAGTATGGAAATCAAGGGGAAATCCCAGGAACATTACCCACCCCACCATATTAGCATGAGCAGCACGCCAATTCAAGCCCCTATCATGATTTGTAAACCTCACCACATTGACACCATTGTAATGAAAGCCAAAAGCTTGAACCAGATAATCTCTAATCAAAGTTGATCTGACCGCAAACAGACTAATCGCCAATGGAAGAGGGGAACAATGAGTAACAGCAATACCTAGTTCAGCTTGAAGATAGTTCCTAATTTGTAGACGCTGGACATCCAACTCATTTTCATGTACCGTTGGTTCAATTTAAGCAAGGAAATAGGACTCGTGCTGCCACTGCAGGGGGAGGAAATGTCAAATCTGCTCTCTAGATTTTGAGGGGAGTACCCTCATGAATGTGTTGACCCGGCTCCACAAATCGCCCAGGATTAATGTTAATGTTGGCCATGAAAGTGGATTGAACAGGGTGAGGAAGAACAGGTTGGATTGCAGATGAGGTTTTCTCACTCTTTTCGGTGATGTGACGAAGAGTCAAGGTTAGGTTTAGCCTTAACTATCCATGATTTCTTCTCTCTGCTTTTACGGCCAAACAGTTTTGGGCCACATGTCCATAACCAAAGCAAGCCCGGCATCTAATAGAAGAGGAACACCTACTTGAAGAATGGCCTTGCCCAAGACACCGACTACAATTGAGAACTTCTTACCGATCAGACACCCGATTGGCGGTAATTTTGGATCGAGAAATTTTGAAAATTCTAGGCTATCACGAGGAACATCCAACCGC